CAATGACATCATGAGGTTTGCAGACAAATAGATGGATCTAGAAAAAAATCATCCTGAGTGAGGTAACCCAGACTCAGAAAGACAAACATGGTATGTACTCACTCATAGGAGGATACTAGATGTAAAACAAAGATGACTAGACTGCTTCTCACAAATCCAGGGAGGCTACCTAGAAAACAGGACCCTAAGAAAGACACAGGGATCACCCAGTGACAGAGAAATGGAAGAGATCTACATGAACAACCTGGATGTGAGTAAGGGCAATGAAGGGCAAGGTTTGAGGGAAAGAGAGCTTAGGGGAGTGGGATATCCCAGCTGGATCAAGAACAGAGAGGGAGAACAAGGAATAAGAGACCATGATAAATGAAGACCACATGGGAATAGGAAGAAGCAAAGTCCTAGAGAGGTCCACAGAAATCCACAAAGATACCTCGACAATAGACTACTGGCAATGGTTAAGAGAAAGCCAGAACTGACCTACTCTGGTGATAGGATGGCCAAACACCCTAATTGTCGCGCTAGAAATCTCATCCAATGACTGAGGGAACTGGATACAGAGATCCACGGCCAGGCCCCAGGTGGAGCTCCAGGAGTCCAATTGGCGAGAAAGAGGGTTTGTATGAGTGAGAATTGTTGAGACCAAAATTGGAAAAAGCACAGGGACAAATAGCCAAACGAATGGAAACACATGAACTATGAACCAATAGCTGAGGAGCCCCCAAATGGACCAGGCCCTCTGGATAAGTGAGACAGTTGATTATCTTGACCTGTTTAGGAGGCATCCAGGCAGTGGGACCGGGACCTGTCCTCAGTGCATGAGCTGGCTGTTTGGAACCTGGGGCTTATGCAGGGACACTTTGCTCAGTCTGGGAGGAGGGGACTGGACCTGCCTGGACTGAATCTACCAGGGGAGTCTTTGCCCTGTAGGAGATGGGAATGGGGTGTGGGCTGTGGGGAAGGCGGGGATGGGAGGACAAGGGAATCCGTGGTTGATATATAAAATTAAATTAAATTATAAAATTAAAAAAGAGTCTTTCTTGCCTTTGCTTACACAAAGTGGTGCTGCTCTCCAGTCTTTTGTAAAATTCCCATTTTTCTTATTTGTAAAGCTTTCACATAGGAAAAATGCCAGTGTAGGATAAATATCATATTTACAACTTTATATAACACACATCCCCTGGATTTCTTGTCTCTTCACTTTTGTAAATCAGGCTAAGAAAATTATAGAAATTGCCAAGCAACATTTGGTGTAGTGAAGACTCCAGGGAATAGTTAGCTGGCAACATACACCTTATTCTCTAATAAACATATTTTTTCACTAAAATCCAAATGTGTATGACTCAATCAGAAGAGATCTTTTTGGAGATGTTTCCATATCATTATCTCAAAGGGATAAATTTAGTACAAAATTAATAGGTAACTTGACAAAATAATCAAAGATTTTGGATGGAATATAAAAGATGTTTCTAACTGTTTAGAGCTTATTTAGTATGTAAAGCTTTCCATACTTATAGACAGACATACAGTGGTCACCAGAGAAACAAACAAGGAAATAAATTTCCATTGGTTCTATGAAAAACTACATTTTTATTTACCATTTCCTATAAATGTGAGAACATAGAGGAACATTTATCTATAAATTAGTATTTGCTAGGACACTTGGGAATCTTAAAGTGAAAATGCAATATGTTTATTATTTTGTAAGCCATAAAATATTTTAGTGAATCTTGAACTCTGCAGTCACACGCTCACACAAACTCTCTATGCCCCATGTCTCTTCAATTTTGATTAAAAAATCCCCAAACATCTAATTATATCAAACAAAGGTGATATATCTTTATTTCTACTTCTCTTCCCAACTGTACTGTTGACAAAAGAAATAATATTTTAAACATAGCCTTACATAAGAACCCCAATTGCAGTGATTTTAAAATGTATCCTTAAAATTTATTTTAATTGTGGATTTTTAGTTGGAGTGATTCTCAAGTTGAAAATGAAACAGTGAGAGAAACTGAAGATAACGGCAGGGAATTCTTTCAGAGCTGATGTGAGGAAAGCAGCAGACCTAATTTGTGCAATCCTGGAACGTCATATGTGGGGAACACTAGAGCATATTCAAAATGAAACATTATTGATGTTAAGCAGCACAGTGTGGGCCTTGTGTTTGAGAACATTGTGCTGACGTAAACAAAGCAATGTTAGCATTCATGCCTAGTAGCTAAACTGACAAAGATTCACAACGGGGAAGTCACTCTTGATCAACAAAAACAATTGTTATGATTTGTTCTTTACTCCATTCTAGATTTATATTATCTTTTCTTCTCTCAGAAACTTTATACTAGATTTTATGAAATTCATTTTTCTCTTCTTCAGAAATTTGTAATACCTTTGATTTTCTGCTAAATTTTTACCCAAATTTGACTGACTCCTCTAAAACCCATTATATAGAGATTCAATTGTCTTATAAATTTCCTGATAATTTTCTTGTCCAATGATCTAGCAATGGAAATTTGAAGATTAAAATTCTATAAAGCAATGAAATTATTCAAACTTATATCAAAGCCTATTTTATGCTATAATTTCTCTTGAAGAAATTTACCCTCTTTTACAAGTTTAAGAATCACTCTCTCTCTCTCTCTGATAGATGATAGAAGGGACAATTGTGACGAATCCTCACCATTTTCTCAGATTTCAGTCATCTTATTCTTTTAAATCCTTTAAAAATTTTTTATTATAAGTGTTTAGTATTGGTGTCAGCTCATTTTGTGCTTAATATACCAAATAATATTGTCTTCATGTTCATTGATAGCTATGTGTTCATTTTCTTCCTGCCTACATAGTCTCCTTCATCCTCTCAGTTTTTATGTAGAATGCAAAGAAAAGTTACAATCTCAAAGAAACTGTAGTTTAGAAGTCAAGCTGGGATGCTTCGGATGTTAAACTGTGAGTCTGGAAGAAAGGTGATGAAAAGATCGATGTGGCATGTTGTGAGTTCAGTAGATAAAAGCACTCTTAACTGATTACATATGAATTAAAAATACTTTTTAAATGATCTTTATTTAATCTTGAATTTCAAAGAGTCTCACATCTAAGCAAATGGTTGGGTCTCAATGAATTTAAAACTTACATGAAATTACATGTAGTACTTGGAAGATATATATATCTATGTGCTACCTAATACCTATATGCACATGTTTAACATAATATATTTGCAGGAATATTATAAAATATACATATTTTGGTAAGAAGCATAGAATAAGATCACTAGTATTCATCATATTCTGAGAAATCTTTGACTTCCAGAATTGTTAAAAGAAAATTGTACCAAATGAAAGAATGCCTAGACAGTTTGCAACAATATTAAAATTATTACAAAAAGAAATACATTCCCATTGTTTCTAAATGTTCACCAGCATTCATATTTGCAATTACTTGACAATGGAAACAAACTTTTTAAAATTTCTCATATTTTTTCAAAGATGAGAAAAATGAACTCAACTGTACCTATTTCAAAACCTGATATGTTCATTTTCTTCACACACCTTACTTGAGCCTATGTGGTTGTTCACTACTGAGGAATGTAGAATCTCCAGCACCCCAGGAAATGATGGGTGGGTATTGGCTGTACTCCAAGCACTTGAGAAGGAGAGACAGGAGATCTCTGGAGCAAGCTGGCTAGACAGACCAGTGTGTTATGAGTGTTGTTGATAGACGATGCCAGTTCATAAGACAGAAAGCTATCAGGGATCCGACATCAACTTCTGGCCTCCACACATACATGCACACACATGCATGTACAGATAGATGTACACACACGTGATATGCATACAAACACATGCACACAAGTTACATGCATAAAGATGATAAATTCTTTAAAATTAAGCTGAATGAAAATGAAGTTTATTAATATATCAATGAAAAAGACACTTACTTTTTAAGCTTAAAAAGGTAACTGAAGGCAGATAGTGAGAAGACCTATAGAGAAGAAATTAGAGAAATGAAGCTGTACATTTGGAGAGCCAAGGAAAAAATAATATTAAACAAACATCTGCTGTTATGACCAGAAAAGTAAAACACAAGCAAATTGCACTTGTTAATTTTCTGTATATATGGGTATATTAAAAATTATAAGGTGATTTTAAAAGATTTAGAATTCAGAGCGGGAAAGTGGATTATTTATTTAAAATTAAAGAGCGGAAAGGTGAAATGAGAACAGAAAAAACTATTTGATGTCACAAAAATCAAAGTATCTAAAATTTTATAGTATCTAAAAATTCCTACTAAGAAATGCGTAGAAATTTAAAAAAAAATGACTTTTTTGAGTTTAACAGACTGTGAATTGATTAAGGAAAACTGGCAAGCTCCAAATAAACAGAGAGAAAAACAAATAAAAAATGCGAAGTCTGATGCTGATATTCAAGCAGCAAGACTGGAGATTAAGTAAAAAGAATTATTTGTATCAGTGTCCAGAAAGCATCCTTCCTTGTTTTATATATAGGTAGAATATGATAATAAAAGCATTAGGAGTTCTCACTGGTGAACCTATTAAGATTTATAAAACATAGGGAAAAGACTAAGTCATAGAACAGAAATACATACATCTTATATGTTCTCTTCTTTTGAGCCAGTCAAACTTCTCTACAATTTATGATAGTTAAGATAGAAAAATGATTTCAGAAAAGTTCTCCATCAGCTCTCTTCTCTACTCTGTGTATTTTCATGGTCAT